GTAAGCTGCTCTGAGACTCCTTTGGGTAGTGAAGGGCGGGGTATAAATCCCATCTCCTCCTCTTCTTTTACCTCACAGGGTGTCTGTTGCGGGGAAGGGAATGGAAAGGAGTTTGTCAGCCCCTCTGAGGCTCCTTTGGGTAGTGAAGGGCGGGGTATAAATCCAACCTCCTCTTCTTCTTCTTTTATCTCACAGGGTATCTGTCGTGAGGAGGGGAAGGGAAAGGAGTTTGTAAGCCGCTCTGAGACTCCTTTGGGTAGTGAAGGGCGGGGTATAAATCCAATCTCTTCTTCTTCTTTCGGGTAGTGAAGAGCAGGGTGTAAAACCAACTCTTCTTCTTCTTGTTGTAGACTTTTACCTCAGAGTGGTCTATGAGGTCCCCCACATATTTTGCCCTCACAACAACCCTGTGAGGTAGGTCAGAGTGGCTGGCTTTCAGGGCGTTTTATGACCAGTTGAGGATCTGAACCCAGATCTTTCGCCAGTGCACCACACAGGTTGTTTAGGTACAGCGAGGCTGTATGCCCACAGCGTGGGGAGCGAGCAAACAGCTATTTGTGGCACAGTCCCAGCTTTCCCTGTTGTTGGCTGTGATCCCTGACACGTCTGCCCCACATTCTCTAACCCTGTTTTTCTCTCTTCACGCTCTGACAGGCTTTAACACCCTCTTTCAGTTCCTGGAGCGCTTTCCTTTTCCCTTTTAACATTTTTTAAAAAAAATTAATATTTTATTGAATTTTAACGTTCACTGTTAACCAATATACTACAGCAATGCTGACAACAATCATCTAACAAATCTTAACTGAGGCTTAAGTTGATCCAGTATAATAGATTCCGTGTATAGGAATGATCACAACCATCCAGGAAAAAGAAGACACACAACACAGTAGCTAGCTTCTAGGTTTTGCCACAAACCTACATCGTCTATAACTTTAGGGATTTCTTGTTGGGAAGCCAAATACTGTAGGATAGATAGCCGGATAGAGGAGAAGGTTGAGTGTGAAGAAGGTTTGGTGTAGTGGTTAAGTGTGCGGACTCTAATCTGGGAGAACCGGGTTTGATTCCCCACTCCCCCACTTGCACCTGGCTAGATGACCTTGGGCAAGCCATAGTTCCGTCGGAGCTGTTCTTGAAAAAGAGCAGTTTCTGTCAAGAGCTCTCTCAGCCCCACCTACCTCACAGGGTGTCTGTTGTGGGGACGGGAAGGGAAAGGAGACTCTTTTGGGTAGTGAAGGGCGTGGTATAAATCCAATCTCTTTTCTTCTTTATTAAAGTATGCCCGATTGTTCGTGAGTTTGGCCATAATATATAACCTCTGTATCTTTTGATGCCAAAGTCGGTGACTTTGTTGATTTAGCAATGGTGTTTCTAGCCGCATAGAGCAACAGAGAGACTCTTTCCATATTAGAATAGGAGCCATTGCTAGAGGCCCGACCATTCAATAAGAGGAGTTCTGGTGTGATATTGAGGTCTATACTAGTGATGGGTTTGATTTGTGTTGCTTTTGTTGTCGTCGTCCAGTCGCACAGTCGAGTCCGACTCTTCGCGACCCCACGGACCCCATCACGCCAGGCCCTCCTGTCTTCCGTCGTGCTCTGGAGTTTGCTCAATTTCATGTTCGTTGCATCGATAACACCGTCTAACCATCTCATCCTTTGCCGTCCCTTTCTTTCCTAACCTTCAGTCTTTCCCAGCATCAGGGTCTTCTCCAGTGAGGGCTCCCTTCTCCTTTGGTGGCGAAAGTATTTGAGCTTCAGCTTCAGTCTCTGGCCTTCCAGGGAACAGTCAAGGTTGGTTTCTATTAGGATTGTCTGATTCGATCTCCTTGCAGTCCAGGGGACTCTCGAGAGTCTTCTCCAGCACCATCATTCGAAAGCATCCATTCTTCAGCGCTCGGCCTTCCTTACAGTCCAACTCTCGCAGCCATTTTGTGTTGCTAGGGATTCCCGAAACGAAGTCACTGTGGAACAGTATCTCCAGCAGTGCACTTTCCTGCCCCACAGCTTGTCTCCTAGAAAGGGACGCAGAAGTCCCATAGATTTCCTCTCACACCTTCTCTGCCCCGTGACGTTTCTCCTCCCTTTCCCTCCCCCCCCCCCCCGACTCTTATCAGGGCCGGCTCTGTCCCTGCCCCTCTGCGAGACAAAGGGGGCATTCAGCAGCCCCTGGATTGGCATGGCCCTCCCCGCACCCGCTTTCCGCTGTGGGGGCGGCAGCGCTGGGTGCCCGCCAAGGAACAGCGGCTTCTTGCTGACCCCGACACCGGCCAGCCTTTGCCAGTTCAGGGAGGTCTGGGTGGAGGCCGAGGCCTGACCGCGGGCACTGGGGTGGGGGTGGGGGACAGGGGCGGTGGAAGCATGAGGCCAGAGCGGGGGGGGGAGATGCAGTGCTTGCCAGGGGGTGGGGAAACAGGTGTGGCCAGGTTGGTCCGGGCCCAGGTTTCCCGGGGGACCTGTCCTGCAGGTGCAACGCTTCCCAGCACCTTGCCTCTTTATTTATTCATATCCCGCCTTCCATCCTCCAGTAGGAACCCCAAGCGGCTTTCGTCCTTCTCCTCTCTTCCGTTTTTTCCCTCACTGCAGCCCTGTGAGGTAGGTCAGGCCGATAATGCGTGTGTGTGACCCAGCTAGCTTCCGTGGCAGGAGCGGGGATTCAAACCTGGGTTTCCCACAGGGTTGCGGGGGAGTCCTGGGCCCTTCCCGGGATCTTCTGCCACGTGTGCCTTGCGTGAGGGGTCATTTCGTAGAAAAAGAGGTGCAGGAGCTCATTAGCATAACTTATTTGCATATGCCACACCCCCTGACATCACCGGAAGTGTGTCAGAAGGCAACACCCACCGCTCAGGCTCCACTGGACTGTTTTGGATTCCTAGCTATTGGGGGGGGATGTGCAGATCTGTCCTCGCAGAGGAGGGAGAGCTTGTACCTGAA